CTGTGAGTCACCAGATGCAGGTGATAATCAAAGGGGCTAGGGTAAGGGCATGCACAGGAGTGTAAGGGCCACCAGGGAGGAGAGTGCTTTGAAAAGAACAGTAACTGGAGGCAGCTTTGCCAGGAGCCAAACCCCTTACAGAGAGGGAGTAACTGCCAGGGAATTCAGGCAATAAAGGCAACCCTTGGAAGCAGGGTGATAGACCTGGGTTGGGTAGTGTCCAAGGGAAATTCATTCACTCCAAACAATAAATGTTTTGTGTTAACTTGACAGCTCGCTTTTTCTGTTCATGCACCTGCTCAAGTGGGGTTGCCTCTGTTTAAGTGACCACGTACTACTTTTTTGTTTTAGCGTTAGCTTCCCCAGCGCAGGGTGTGTTAAGGTGTGAGCCTGCTGCTCTGGTCTGTTCTCTAACCAGTGGGTTGGTTGGGACTAGAGGGGAAGAGGAGGAGGTCCCATAGTTGTCCAGAGCAGAGCAGAGCATAGCCAGAGCTCAGAGCAGGGCAGAGATGGAGCCCAAAAGAGGATAGAGACTAGGCACTAGGCAAAAGGTTCCCCAAGGGTCCTGGACAGTCTCCCAACATTTATTCCTCCAAAACATAACATCAGAGGTGTGGCCAGACAGGAAAAGCCCCTGGGGCCAGGTAAACAGGACTTTGATGGATGGAGGTGCTACTACAGTTTTTGCCCTCATCGTGCCACAGGACAGTAACCTCATTTTCTGAATACCCATCTTGAGATCCTAGGGTTACACACATACAACACTAAGCAACTGAAGCCACTGGGAACTAGGGCTGTGCAAAGCTTTGGTAGCCGATTCAATTCGGAGGAGATTCAGCCTGATTCGGCAGCAGAATATCTGAATCCGAATCGAATTGGGAAACCCATTAAAAGGTCCGAATCAAATCAGAAGCCTCTGAATCTATTTGGAGAGATTTGGAAGGCTTGCAGCAAACAGAAACTGAGAAGAGGGAAGGGGATGAAGTGATTTTCCATATATGAAAAAGGCTGAGAGGCGGGGAAAGACTGCTCTGGTAGTGACATCTGTAGATGGCCAGTGACTGTGATTTCCCCCCCCAGGTGATACGAGTTTTGCTTTCAACAGTTTGAGGTGTATTTTCACAGAAACCCTCCACCTCTCTCCTTGAAACTTGGCAGGCATCATGCCCTCAGAAGGGGCCACCATCCCTGTTGTTTTGATCTGAATCTGCAAAAACATGACAGAGTTATAGGTATTTTAGTGATTCCCCATTATAGTCTATGGCCAAATTTCCAAATTGAACTGGGACAGTGATTCGAATCACCAAATCGAATCACTGTCCCTCCAGATCGGCCAAATCCAAATCCGAAGCGAATGCTTGCTGCTTCGCACAGGCCTACTGGGAACTATATATACACACAATGCTGAATTCTCTTCAAGGTACATCAAATTAAACATCAGAAGTTGGTGGACACTTGACATTAACCCCTCTGTAATTCAACTCCCTTTATACAAGATGGGTTTAGTAACACCATATCATTATGGTGTTATGAAAAAAAATCACTAGTAAGTTTGGAGCATTCAGAAATTGCGGCACTAGGCATAATAAAACATGAGACATTGGAAGTTATGTAGTCAGAGCAGGGTCCGAATCATTTACAATTAAAAAAACAAACACATGGGCTACATGTTAAATGAGGAGAAAAATGCTGAATATTGGTTCATTAATCCTGTGCACTGAAGGCAGCAAGAGTCCTGAGTAAAAAAACAAAAGGAGACAGAACTAATGACTAGCATAATACTTTTACCCAATTGTAAATGAAGCCTTAATTCTGACGTTTCTTAAGCTTGGAATGCCCGACCTTGTAACCTTGTGGTTTAACATAGTTGTTTGTATGAAATTTTCCGAGTTTAAAAGCAAATTGAAATTCTGTCAGATGGAACCATATTGATCCCTGTATCAGTCTGCCACCAGGATTAAATCTTTAGAAATTTCTGCTGTGGTATTACCGCCTAAACTAATTAGCTGATGGGAGGCCATTTGGAACAAGTAACTGGAAGGAAAAAAAAAAAGATTTTCCTGCAGATTTATAGTTATTTGCTAAATGGCAGAGAAATATTAGGACTCGGGAGTCTTTTGTTCAGCTCCAAGTTCTGGAGTGTATTTCAGTGGTTACAGACCCTTCTGTCTTGCCTTTCCTTCAGTAACTTGGGTCACCAATAACTGTATTATGTGAAAATCTCACAACCCTTATTATGTTAATCCCTGCAATATCATTGTATGGCCATGTGAAGATGAAACTAGGCGCATGTGTGCATGACACTTTAAAGAGGGCTAAATGCTTTCTGCACCACTTTAATTGTGTCGGTGTTTGCACACCTTGGTGGCATATTGTGCATTAATTCCAGCTGCTGTAAGAAATTCGACAGCGTAATGCACCTTAAGTAACTTGGGATACAGCAAACTAGAACTCCTTCAAGGAGTTTTAGTTTGCTGCACCTACAGCTGCGAAGCAAAGCACTGGGCTCCATGCAGCTCTACAAAAAGCCCTGCAGGCAGCTTGGCAGCAGCCCAGGAAGACCAGCTCTGCCCAAGAAAAGCAACAAGCCTGATTTCTCCCCCCTCCCCCACAAGCCTGCCTACCTGAGCTGTGCGGGGGCCTGGTGCTTCCCTCTGTGGCTGCAGTCCCCCTGGGACCGCCCGAGCTGGGTGCCTGTGGGCGGGTGCCGCTTGTGGGGGGCCTGCCACTGCCTGAGGGAAGCACCAGCCCCCCTGCAGCGCAGGGACCGCTCCGCCCACCGACAGCTCGCCTTCCCCTCCCTGCCGCCGGAGAGGCAGGTAAGTCAGCGGGTGTGTGCACAACATGGAAGTTTAAATCAGTCCTAAATTTAAGCAGTGTTTTTAAAAATCCACAGTTTCAATTCAGGGCCTGTTTTTCTTCTACACATGCCCTATCCTTGCAATCCTACCCTCATTTTACAGATCAAGAATTTAGGCACGAAAATGCTAAGTAACTTGCCCAAAGTTACCAGAAAATTTGTGGTAGAGCAGACAGAATTAAACAGGTCTCCTATATCTTAGACTAGTCTTCTTAACCACTGGACCACCTATCTAAACCCTCTCCCTTCCTCTGCATTTAACTAAAACAGCTTCTTCTACCTCAATGCCTGGATTCAAAAGCAGGAGCATTCAAACACAGAAAGTGTTTCCTTCCTTTTTTTTTTTGTCCGGTACCCAGCCTGAAACAGTAATCAGCAGCTAGAGTATTTTTTGCTCAACTGTTCTATAGGCTAGCACTACAGAAGAAAGAGACTTGGGGGTCATCATTGACCACAAGGTGAACATGAGCCTTCAATGCAATGCTGCGGCTAGTAAAATGACCAAAACGCTGGCTTGCATCCATAGATGCTTCTCAAGCAAATCCCGGGACGTCATTCTCCCCTTGCACTCAGCCTTGGTGAGGCCACCTGGAGTACTGCATCCAGTTTTGGGCTCCACAATTCAAAAAAGATGTGGAGAAGCTTGAGAGAGTCCAGAGGAGAGCCACGCACATGATCGGAGATCAGGAAAACAGACCTTACGACGAGAGGCTGAGCACCATGGGGCTCTTTAGCCTGGAAGAGTGCAGGCTAAGGGGTGATCTGATGGCCACGTATAAGTTTATCAGGGGTGACCATCAGTATCTGGGGGAACGTTTGTTCACCAGAGCGTCCCAAGGGATGACGAGGTTGAATGGTTATAAACTACTGCAAGACCGTTTCAGGCTGGACATAAGGAGGAATTTCTTTACTGTCCGAGCCCCCAAGGTCTGGAATAGCCTGCCATCGGAGGTGGTCCAAGCACCTACATTGAACACCTTCAAGAAAAAATTGAATGCTTATCTTGCTGATCCTATGACCCCAGCTGACTTCCTGCCCCTCGGGCAGGGGGCTGGACTCGATGATCTTCCAAGGTCCCTTCCAGCCCCAATGTCTATGAAATCTATGAAACAGTGGACAGTCAGCCCACTTGCCATTCAGAACTGAATACTGCTTGCTGCAAATGGAAACATCAGAAAACAATGCTGCCAGCAACCTATTTTGAGTATGTATAAATAATGAAATTCAGAGCCCTGTAACAGCCTAATCTGGGCTGATTTTTAAGACTTATACCCCTGCCAAAAGATGACCCACATACTAGCTTTCAGGACCCTGCTCAGAAAAATTAGAGCATTAAAGCTTCCCAAAGAAGTGGTTGCAAGATTGGTTGTGTTTTGTTTCTTAAAGTGGGCAAACCAACATACCTCATTCTAAAAACTGAACACTTTAAGTTGAAATATTTACAACAAACAAAAAAACAAAGACCAAAAAAAACCTGCCCAAGCCAGACACCTGCCATAGAAAAACTCAGCCCAAACAGCTGAAGTCTGGCAAAGTTACAATCAAATAAAACACTTCTAGGCAGGGAAGTGTTTGGCATTCTTTACCAGACACTTTGCTACTGACTCTATAATACTGGTCTCAAATGGACATGTAGCAAATATCCTACTGCAAACAGGAACAGTATAATCCAAAGAGCAAGTACTAAATTCATTGAATGAATTCTAATTAGGCTTATATACCTTTGATATTTTGTCAGTGTCTGCACTGTAAAATGGAAGTGGCTTGAGCTTGGAGTACCTGGACTAGCATAATCAGCATAAAGAATATTGGCAGGAGCCAGGAGTTTAGTTCTTGCTAGCAGTCAAAGTACAAGACCTCCAGGAGCACTGGGACCATACTTTGGTGGCTATCTTGTTCTTCTGCATTCTTCACTGCCATCATGCTCACCGCTTCTACTATAGCCTGCTACCACAGGCTACAAATCACACCTTTATTTTGCCATGCAGATGCACACTAAATGCAAAAGTAATCTGTCATTTTCAGTGACTCTTCCTTAAGAATAATGTCTGGCAATCTAAGTAAATTAAAATTGCCTGGTAGTTCTCAAACTACTGGCTTCTACTTTTTTATCCAAGACTTCAGGAAAGGGGGAAAAAGGCAAATTAAAAAAACTACCTTTATTTTTTTCTTCTTCAGTTACACACTTTTAAACAGGGATCTATTTCATTATTCTGACATTCAGGCAATGTTGACTTCATTAGTTTAGACAGGGAAAAGTAAATCATTGTTGGCTTAACCTGAACATACCTGCATTACTTTTTATTGACCAGTTATGTTGTCAGAAGAAAATCCTCCTCAGCATCAAAATGGAGCACTTAAAAATAATGCAAGAAAGCAAATGTCTACATACTGGTCTCTGCAGCAAATAAAGAGATTTTATAACTTTTAAAATATTTAAGTCCATAATTGGATTAATATACACACCTTGTTATGTGTAAGGAGTTCAGATCATATAAACACCGTACAGGCCAAAAACCCTTGATAATTATGGTAAACAGGTGCATAAGAAATACAGATACTGCACGTATATACAAACATTATGGAGCAACAAATTTGGTCAAATAATGCAAAGAATGGATTTCACATTAGAATGGTCAAGTTAACCTTCTACCTTTTCAGCTCAAATCAAAATAAAAAAAATAGATAACTCTGAGATTAAGACAGTCATTAATACAAACAGGTAGAGTAGAAACTCTTAACCAAATTACAGTATGTGTTTTTGTAAGTCGAGTTCAGGTTTTAAAAACAAAGATTTAACAAAATCATTAACAGCAACAGTGACAAAACAAAGAACAGAGTACACGTGTGTGTTCATATGAGCACATAATCCATCAAAACAATACACTGCACTTTTGCCTGTTAAGAAAAAATAAATTACAAAATACAATTAAAATCCCTGTAAATGCAATAATGAATTCAAAGGTGTGCATTTATCTATTTTAATACACATTTTGAATGCTACTATAAAACAGATTAAAAATAAATAACTTTGCCAAGAGGCGTGTGTTGATAGAAAAAAAATTACTACAAGTTTAATTACTTGTAATTAATTAATTACTACAAGTTAGGAGGATTTAAAAAACTATGATAATTAATCTGAGGTTTGGTCAACAAATCTGTCTTGTCATTTCCTTCCTTTTATTCCATCTCTCCAAGCTACTGGCAGCTACATGACAAAAGCACACCTCTGTCATTATGGCTTTAAATGAAGCTGACTTGAAAAAAAAAATGGAATGGGCTGCCTTTTCTACAGAACAGCTGGTTTGTTCAGATTGCAGGCACTTCAAAAAGATTGTGGTGGGGGAGGGGGAGGGAGGGGAAGTACCTGACCCATCCTTTCCATAGCATCTTACAACAGTCGCAATATTATACTGAAAGGTAAGAAAGTTCCATAAAACCACAGCAGTTTTGCACACTACAGGCTAGTATGCAGAGAAGACAGTACAAGTCGACCCCCTTCCATTGTTTGATTTTAAAATCAAAGAGTAAAATAGTTTACAATCAGATCTTTCATCATTACATGGCACATCCAAATTTTTAGTTTAGAGGATGTTGTTGTCATTCAGCAGTAAACTCATTGGGAACCCTAGACTTTAATTCCTATCCCACTTTAACCAAATTCACATTTAGTTTTTAGTGTATTTTATAACTCAATATCTTTTGTCTTTAGACGGTACTGTCTAATAAAACCAGAAGCACAACTTACATCATACAAGCATTTGTATTTTTGTACAAGCACTGTTGCCATTTCTACTATACTGCAACTCCATTAGAGGCACAACAAAAACAAATTTTCAGACCCAGAGTCTACTGGTGATATTATATCATTTAGACCAGTGTTATCAGTTGAATCCATCTAGCTGCTTCTTCCATTTCTCTGTGCAGTAAATGTACCATGATATCATGGAGACGATTTAATACTAATACAATACAATTTGTGACTGCAGTACCATCAGTAATACTGAATAAAAAAACCCAAAACAAAACAATGCAGATGTCACAGACAAAATAAAATATCTTAAGGTAAGACTTTTTATTATTTTTAAATGCTTGGGCAATTATATTTTTCTTCTGTATCATCCACTTGAATAAAAGATTCTTTCAACATGCTGTTACAGAATTCATTAAATACCAGATTTAAGAGACATCTGGTCTTCACTTAAGAGACTGCTAATGCTTTCTAGGACAGGAAAAATGCTTTTGAAGTTTAGTTTTGCTGAAAATAGAGCAGTGTTCATTTGTACCATTTCATTGGTCCATTTATTGATGGTCAAAGAAGCACTCGTGTTTGACAAAACTTTAAAGCTTCCAGAAGAGATGAATTAAAGAAAATATGAATGTGGGACAACAAAACCAAAGCCTGGAGGCATGACATTTTTAAGAGGGAGTCCTTGAAAAACATGTGGTCACTACAGAGGTGATTCTGTTTAATCACAAGACAGCAGATGAACAAGCAAGTAATTCCCCATGTTCTGCCTGCTTCCAGAGTCATTTGTGGCGTTGAATAGTTTTCCTTTTCCTTCTCTTGAAAAAACAGCAGCACCTACAAATATGACAGGAAACATATTTAACAAAAATGAATCCACAAAAAAATGGCTATATATATTAATATATTACATTAATATATTAAGACCGAAAAGTTTTAAACTATTACAAGATGCATATTAATTTCTATAGTGAATGACTGACATGTGAAGCTAAAACTAAAGTAGACTTACTGCTAATACATTTCACTGTCTTTTGGGGGCAGTAAAATAAGCTGCATAGTAAAAGAAACCATTTTTTAAAACTACTACAATTTGATGCCAAGGAACAATAGGTGTAAAAGTGAAAAAGAAAAATGGAGCAAGGGGGAAAGAATAATGGAGCATTACATGAAGAATTAAAGATGTACTTTCAAAACAGTGTCTTGTTCTCCTGTGTACTTTTTTTATTAGATGCTAACATGCCAGACATGAATTTAAATGTATTTTAAGTACTCACAAACTGAACACCAATTCTCTTATATGGTTAATACAACCCAGTGTTATTTTAGAGGCACTTAGCACATAGAGAAAGGGTCCTAGTTTTTTTTTAAATCTCAGAACAATATTTAACAATAATTTTAAACTTCATGTTCTGATTTACTGCTGTAATAAAAACTCAAGGAAGCTATAATCAGACTTCAAAAGATGATTGGTACCACATAATAGCATTCTCGTCTCTGCTGTATTATAAATATGAACAAAGAAGTCCAAATTGACAATAATAATTTGTCATTTTCATTCAGTGGACTGTCTGGGAAACATGTAATAGCAAACAAGAGACATACCAGAAAGGCAAAGAAATAAATAAAAGAAAAATGTGAAGAAATAAATGCTCCAAAAGGGGAAAAAGAAAATGCAAAAAGAAAAAAGGATTTATTGAAAAATAAAATAGAACACTAAAAAGTAGAAATACTAGGTGGAGGAGGAAAAGGGGGGAGATAAAGAGACTGCGAAGCAAACACAATTGTATTTTTTTCTATGTTACATTAGTCTGAACAAATTTAAGCCTCTCTCAAATTCTGAGTTAAATCCTATTTTGACTTCCTGGTCATATGCTTTAAAGTTAAAATGTACAATATGGGAAATGTCCACAATATTTATTACAAATCTAAGAAGTGAATGTGTGATTTATTTTAGTGTCCTTTGCTCCAGAAAACCCGGATAAAGACTGCTACTCTTCCTATTTCCTCCTCCCAGCAGAGTGCAAGTGGCAGATTCTAAAACCCTACAGATACAAGATTGGTGCAATTTCAATAAATCAGTTACACTCCAAAAGAAATTCTGCCTCCTCATCTCAGGAGATAGGGACAGAGGATGTGGATTTAGAAAAGAAGCATTTACTTTCCAGTAACTAAAGTTTGGGAAGTGCTATCCTTGTGCACTTCAAGGAACAGACATTTCAAGCAGTTGAGCCTGCTCCCAGCAGCCCATATATAGCACACATCTGCTCTGCCTCTCTCTCTGCTCTATGGCACAAGTGTAAAGAGAGTTCTTGTTTCCTGTACCAGAGTATTAAGAATTCAGAGAAAAAATGGTAAGCAAAATGTACAGACATCTTAAATGGCACTTACAGGTAACATTTCAAGAACTCTTTTGGGCAGATACCATCTTGGAGCCAAAACTTTTTTCAGTGTCAATGATGGGAATAGTCTCATCAAAAAAGATTTCCACATACTTTAAAGCCTTTCCACACAGCCAAATCTAGCAATCCAGAGACTGAGGCCAGTCCCCAAGATTTACTCAGGCATTTGGCGCTGTAGTCCTTCCAAGACCAGGAAATGAATTAAATATTTTAAAAGGGTACACTTCTCAAATATACAAGACTTCCCCTAAACAATAATGCCACTTAACATACTATCCAGGACAGACATAGCCCTGTCACAGGGGGACAAAACTCAAAACTAGGAAACCCAGAGAAAGTCAGGCCAACAGTTGATTTCATGCCCTAACCTTTACATCCTCTGCGTAGAGCACAAGGTTAGGCAGGGTATATATGAACTACTCAAACACTGCTAGTGGTAAAAAAAGGAAAAAAAAAGAAAACCCTTTGTAGTGGAATGTTTGGCCACACCTGAATTCACAGAAGAATTGGCATATAGACAAGCATGCAGAGGAGGAAAAATAAGGGTCACTGGGTGTCTCTACATAGGATGCTTTTAGTGCAGTAGGCTAGTTCTACTGTGCGATAATGTGGTGGGCAAAACCCGTATTAATGTGATAACAGACAGTAGAATTAGTCTACAGTGCATAACCGTCACCAAAAAAACGTGCCAGCGCTACTGTGCAGTAGCACCAATTACAGTGCATTAAGATAGTACCTGTAATTGCAGATACTTAACTTAATGCACCATAATTATGGTGCATTAATGAACATGTAGACACAACCTCTGATATTCAAACAGAGATGAATCAAAAATACACGATGAGACAAGGGGGAAGTGTACTTCCCCAATAATAGTTAAAGGCATACCACAGCTTAGTCGCTAAAGAACTAAGCAGTGTTAAACTACAACTAGTCTGAAAGTTAAGGGACTTTAAATAGGAAAACGCTGAATTTAATGATAGTGAGAAAATACAGTTAAAAATCCAGAGAGGAATCTACAAAATTTAAACACTTCTTTTCAAGATACAGCTACAGGTTTCCCTTGATTTATGTGGGTTCTGTATATACGAATCCGCTCTTATGCAATGAGCATTTTTAGACCCCTAATTTGTTATATGCAAGATAAATTTGCTCTTATGCAATCAGCACAGGTACTTGCTTGGGGGAGGAGAGGCAAGTCTGCAGGGGGGACAAGGGCCATGAGACTGGGGACCCACTCACCCCAGCCCCTGCTGCAGCAGCCCCAGGAGTGGCCGGTGCCAGCTGCATGCAGCTCCTGGGTTGCACCGTGCTCTGCTTGTCCCCACTGACCCCAGCTCCTGGGCTGCACCGTGCTGTGATGCAGGCAGATGATGTTGGCTGCTCCCAGAGCTGCTACAGCAGGGGCTGGGGTGAATGCAGACAAGCTGCGCCACACCCTGTGCCCCCTGGGGCTCCACTTGTTCCCACTCACCCCAGCCCCGGCTGCAGCAAGAGCCGTACCCTCCCACCCGCACCCACTGACAGTTCCCTTTGCTTTGCTCCCTTGTGCAGCCCTGGGATCGGCACCCCTTCTCCCACCTCTTCCCTTGTCCCAGCCTCACTTCCTCACCGACATAGGAACCTATCCCTATTTGCTACATTATAAAGTGGGTTTGCTTTATGCAAATTTGATTTATGAGCCATTCTCTGGGAATGCATGTACAGCATAAATCTAGGGAAACCTGTACCAGCAACATAATCATTTTTTTTACAGAACTAAAAGACAAAGTGTAGTGATTTTTAAGAATCAGAGCTGATAAGCTTTTGTGACCAGGTTCAATTAGTATAGAGGTGTCAAATATGTGGCCCCCCAGGATGGATACAATCCACAGAGATGGGTCATCTGGTTTGTGGGGCTTCTGTCTTTGGCTGGACATATCACCTCTGGATCCAGCCTGAAGGCTTCTCACCATGTCTCCCAGAGCTGTTATGGTGGCTCAGTCACCACCCAGGGAACTACCAAATTTATGGGTTTTGAATTACACTTTTAGCATATAAACTGATGGCAGGGCAGCAAACAGCATTAACCCCTGCATGCTGATCACACGAACAGCAGCTCTGGCAGCCATGGTAAAATGCTTATAGTCCGGAGCAGGTCTACCAACTCATTTGTATTTGATATCTCTGAGCTAAACTAAGAAGCAACTTTCCCCTGCCTTCCGTCTGCCTTCAAACTAACATGGCTAACTACCTCTCTCTAATTTTTAAGCTATAGCTAGCAACTCTACTAAAATCTACCTATAAATGCTACAATTGTTTTGATATTACACTCATTAGTAAGTAAGCTATGACCATCGCTGCTTAAATTAGGTTCTGAATGAACAGATCTATAGAAACTGGCTCACTGCCAGCCTTTCACTAATGGAACTGCTTTGCACTATTTCCTACTACTTATCATAAAACTTGATGCATGCCATGAAAACCCAAAATATTTTTAAAATGGGGAAATTCTTAAATTTCATAGGTTCTGGTGGCAGATCACATGGGTGGGTTTTTATGTCATTTTCCAAGTAAGCTCTTGGAAAGATTTAGCATTGGTTCTCTTAATTAGTTTTATTATATAAAACATTTCTGTGCAATTAACTGTACACTATGAGGAGGCTTGGGAGAACAGAGTAGGAGGAGAACAGTAAAGAGACAGAACTGATGTTAATATTGAAGTGATCACCTACAATTCCCTCCTATGTGTTAATTTTATACTACAGCACACTTGATATAAATGAAGTATGTCCTGGGAAAGTAGCCTGAGCTACTAAATAAGTTCACATCTAATGATTCCTCACTTTTGTTTTACATCTTCTATGACTCTGTGATTCAACTAGTTCTGGGTCTCTCTGATTTCCTCCCTAGTACACTTCTCCACCTTTTCTGTGACTTACATGTGCTGCATACAGTTTCCCCATTTTCTTTTCCACTCATCTAGTCCTGGCATTTCATGGATATTGCATAGTTATCAAAGCAAAGGGTACTGAAGTGGTAGAAAAGTCCTATCCGTAACAATTGTAAGGCAATGTCTCCTCGCTGCAGGTAGTCTGTAGGCTTGGCAGTCTTATTATTAAAGATTTCTTCCATTAACTGTGATGAAAGACTATTCAAAAAGGTATCCTAGTTAAAAGTATTTGATTGTATGAAACTGAAATAGTAACGCTATTTGATACAGGGAAATAAAGTATACGTTTAAAAAGTTACATTAAATGAATTTTAATATTCCTTCCAAAAGGTGCAATAAATCTTTAAAGTGAAGATCTGATACTAAAAATAAGTATTTAAATCTGTAAGTCCTGGAACCCTTAAAATGTTTTAAATTTTAACAAATATATCATTTAAATATACCTGTATTTCATAAAATAATGTTAACAATCCATTTTAAAATAATCTTCTGATATAAGAGCT